AAAACGCTACGAATTAATTCCAACACCTAATATATATATATATATATATATTGTATATACATTTGCACTGAAATTTATTATTTAAGCATTAAAATCCAATTCAAATTGATAAAGCTTTTTCGTTATTGTATATTCACATTGCGGTCTGACACATTCTTTATAAATATATTTTTTAATAAATTTTTCAAAAAATCAAATTTTCCAAACATTTTTCAAAACGCCAAAAGTGTTAGTCATACTTAAAACCGAGCTTGGTAATTGGTGATTAGATGATGTCGTTAATTAACGTCTTCCCACGCGCGCTAGTGCTTGAACGAAAGAAAATATCGGCGGCACCACATAAAAATGTCAAACAAGCGTAGTGATATCCCTCGACACGAACCCATCTAATTTCCGTCCGGCGAGCCAGCAGGCATAAATCAGTCTTGTCTTCCGGGTCGAGTGTCACGGACGAGATGCAGCACGGTACGACACGCTCCTGCTGCTTCGACTGCTTGGGGTACCAACGTCTTTCGGAAGACCCTCCCACCCGCTACCCGAGATGAGGCACAACACGCGTGTATTTATTTGGAAAAGGGAGCCGCTTGTCGCAACTCCAGTTGTCCGTAGGTGGTCCAATTAATCCACACTGTCCCAAAACTAGGAAGCAAACGACATCTTCCACAATAATAAGCCAATTTGAAAAAAAAATTGTTGATATTAACTTAATACATAAAGTATTAACAAATATTTGAGTTAGTAATGTGCCATAAAAAAACATTATATCCACAGATATTCCTTGTGAAAATATTAAGACCCTATTTTTTAAAGAAGTAATATAGAAGGTTTAAAGAACTTGTATATCTTTATAAATATAATAATGTTATAGAAATAAAATTTATAAGTTATATTTTATCATTTAATAATATTGAATAAAACGGATTTTATTCAGAGTTTTAAAACTAATCTAATATTCATAAGATAGCGCTTTTTCAGAGCTAATTCAATGTTCAATATATTCCTTCATTTAAATACATGTCACAGTTTTTAACATTTAATAAGAACTTCTCCGATAAGCGAGTCTCGTAACAATTTACATTTGTAATCTTGAATTGACATATATGAGACAGCTATCATTTTCAATCTCCCATCATACATTTATCCAGCAATCGCAATAACTTTACGAGTCGTGGTAAAGAAACGTTCTCGATAAGCTCATGGACATGTGTTAGCATCTCTTCTCGTGTAACATTATGGACGAGAGCGAACGCCTCGACGACTGTCGGGACTGAAAGTCGTCGCGCAACTTCCAGTTTATCTGCTCGTCGAAAGGTCGCCGCCGTTTTCGCGTCCTCGGCGACGGAGGACAAAAAAAGAAGGAAGAGAAAAGGAGGAAGGGAAGAAGCGAGGGAGCAGAGAGTGGCACTCTTGGTGTGTCGAGTGGGTGGTCCAATTACCCTACGGTTTCGCGCTCACGAGCAGCACGTGCAGGCCCCAGTAATAAGACTCTTTCCTTCAAAGCTGAGGCTAAGCTGGTGCTAAGTCCGGGGCCGCCTCGGTTTTAGTTACGATTCCGCTGACATCATTAGCCAAACATCTGGTCCGCCACGACCACCACCATCACCGTCGTCAGATGATTCGCGTCGTCGTCGTCGTCGTCGTCGTCGTCGTCGTCGTCGTCGTCGTCAGTATCGTCGTTCCCTCGACAACATCTCGCCACCTCCGTCTACGTTCTCATCTACATCTCCTTCTCTCTATCTGTATTCGCTTCTCGTCATCGGTCTGCCTGATGATTCGCGTCGTCGTCGTCGTCGTCGTCGTCGTCGTCGTCGTCGTCGTCACTTTATGAGCGGGTCGCCGACGATATTCGTCGCGTGGGTCTTTGAGATCCGCGAAACGGATTATACCGGACGCAAGTTCAGAACAACTTCTGGTCTTTGATATCGGTGCTTTACCGTGTTTTGCCAACCGACATTCTTGTCAAACTCTTTGCGGTAGGTCTGCTACTTCGCAGTGGCGTGGGGTGTAACGTTTGCGAATTTTGTTCAACCCTTTCATCCTTAAAATTGCATCCTTAAATTCTCGATTTTGAATATCTCTTCAAAATTTGAATATGTCCAAAATCGTTAAAGAATAAAATGTATCTTATGTATTAGATATAAAAAATAAAATTTTATTATTCTTTCCAATCTTGATTAGCGAGAAAAAATGTTAGATTATTTAATAATACTACTGTATAAAATTATAATCTTACGAAAGTCGTTTAGAACACGGAAAGAATGGTTTTGCTGAAAGCAAGAACATCTAAGAATTTAGCTAGATGTAGATCCGAAAATAAATTCTGTTGCATCAAAATAATTATGTAGGACGCTCAAGTTGATTGCTAAAATATCAAAATTTTTGATTGTTCATCATGCTTGAATTTTTTACACAAATATTTTGATGGACTAACAAAATTATTGTCAGGTTTACATTTAACTAAATTTTTAGATATTTCAGCAAATTCGTTCTTTCCGTGAACCTTATGTTTCTAAACAAAACTAAAAAATTAAACGGTCATGTCGAGATCAGCGTGAATCCCCGCG